TGTTCAGGGCAGATGGCAGCTGAGAATGTCCCAGTTCTTGCATGGCCAGCATACTCACCGGACATGTCACCCATTGAGCATGTTCGGGATGTGCTTGACCGGCGTATACGACAGCGTGTGCCAGTTCCCACGAATATCCAACAACCTCGCACAGCCATTGAAGTGGAGTGGACCAACATTCCACAGGCCACAATTGACAATCTGATAGACTCCATGCGACGATGTGTTGCACTGCATGAGGCAAATGGTGGTCACACCAGATACTGACCGGTTCTGGGTCCCCAGACCCCCAATAGCGCAAAAAACTGCACATTCCAGGGTGGCCTTTTGTTGTGGGCTGTCTGAGGTACACCTGTGCACTACTCATGATGTCAGATCAGCATCCTGATGTGGCACACCTGTGAGGTGGGATGGATTATCTCAATATGGCAGATGTGCCCACTACCACACATTTGGACTGATTTGTGACCACTGTTTGGGAGGGATGGTTATATTGTGTATCTGGAATGAATTTTAGGTCTCTACGTCCATCCCATGGGGAATGGGAGCAGTAACAAAGGTGTTGCGTTTATATTTTTGTTGAGTGTATATCTGAACGAAATGAATGCTTTAAACCAAGAAACACCAAAATGCAGATGTAATGAGGTGCAATGAGCTGCACTTGGCAGAACAGGGGGAAACTACGTGATGTTCGTTTGTAAGGAACACAGATTAGTAGGGGCATACATGGGATTTTGAGAGTTTTCATGAGTGTTGTGTTTGGGCAGACATGCCTTTTATCCTCTCTGTTAACTGATGTAAACTAGAGGCTGGCAAGCATAAATATGGGTCCACACTGACAAGGCATCATTTAAGTCTTGATTTTTCGAGTGTGCCACATCTTTTAATAAACTCTTGCATTCAGGGACAGTATAGAAGTTAAAATTACATCGGAGACAACAATATCTGTCTTCTGTAAACAACACACGTATGACAGGCCAAAATGAAAATGTGAATTTATTGCTGCTTGAAGCTAAAAGGCAAAAATACATCTTTGCCAACACTACATTCAAGCAACTTTACCAGAGATGTCCCAAAAGAGACATTATCTCAGGAAAAATATGCCACTAATATCCCTCCATCTGTTCAGTGTACGAGTATTACCATTGGAAGGACATATACTGTAGCAGAATATGGCAATGTGCTACAAAGAAAAAAAAAAAGAAGCACTGTATCATTATCAGATGTCAAATTTAAAGCATGAAAATGGCCAATTACCAAAAGAAAGCCATGGTTACAGAGATAACGACTTGATTTTTTTAAAAAAGGAAATGGATATAATATATTCATCTATCCTAGGAATACCAGGTAAAATAAAAGTGACCAGCTCTTTCCCATTAGAGACCCGTCACTGGTGGAATGATTTGCCTGTGGACATCAGAATGGCAAATTCTTTATTGCCTTTTAAATCCCTGCATAAAACATACATTAAAATCAAAGAGCTTTTATTTCATCATCCCTGTCTTTTTTCCCCCAGGGATCAATAAAGTATTCTGATTCTGATTTTTTCCCTAATGCCTCTTATACGATCATTGGTTAGTTTGCACAGGTGTACTTTGAATTCCTATTTAAATGAACAATAACTTAACCAAGCAGAATAAATTAATTTCCCCCCCACTTCTCTTTTTTTCCTACAATTAAGTCATAACAAATATGCAATAAAATGGCTTTAAAGTGAACAGCTTGTGATTCTTAAGACAAGTGATAAAAAAGGAAGCGAGTGACATCCTGTCTTTCTAAGAATCTGTAGAAAGTGAACACAGTCAAAATGGAATAACAGATATCTCCAGAACGTACACACTGGGGCTGACTAGAATTTAATTCATTGCAAATGCATTTCAGCTGTCTTAAGAGCAGCAGACAGCCTTAAGGGACTGGCTCTGAAAATGGATTTTAAGCCTTCCGTGTGACATGTTGGTGCTCTGTGTTAGCACCCATTCTGACAAGGGTGGTTAAAATTACACCAACCCAGGAGAGTAAGAAAAGCAAATAATACTGCCGTGTCTGTGATTCTCTGAGTTAATCTCTGAAGACTAGAGGGTTTTGTCAGTGTTTTTGTCTGAGTATTAATCACACAGAGGCGTGAGACCGTTTGGAATCATTTCAGAGTATTTTTTTTTCTATCTAGCTTTTGAAAATGTGAGTTGAAAAGAAGTCTTCTCAAGCTGACTAACCCTTTAACTGATAGCCAGATTTTTTTTAAAAAGAAAAAAGAAGGTTGAATTATACCGCACAGAGGAAAACAACTGCTGCTCACAATAGAATTTTGTTTGACTCATCAGAAATAAATCATAATCTTGTTATTTGGCGATTACTGAATGCTGACCAGTTTCAACTAAACTCAAAGCCCAAAGGAGCAAAAGCATAACTGTGATCAATGTAAAACAAATTATGCTATCCCAGTTTAACAATTAAAGGAAGAAAGACAAAAAGTTAGGAACTAAAATATGCAAAGCTGTGACTTAAAAAAAAACATAATGCTGATCATGTAGACTTCTTGTAGTGTGGTCCGGTCTTATATCTACTAGCCATTTGACATATGCGATGGTGTTGGAGATGCCTATTTCTTCCAGTATTGCTGAGTCACAGTTCTAGTTGGTCTACCCTTATGCCTTGTTCACCTTAAAGTAAAACTTACACCTTTTGAAATGCGCTGGTATGTGTATGTTTAACACAGCATTTACGTTGATGGTGAATGATCTCTGTTTGGTACTTTTTCACTTTTTAACTGGCGGTTACTTACCGAGTGTTTTTCAGACAAGTCGCCATCTTCCATGCAAGCATCGGCTGAATGTACCAATATGCTATTAACCAAAGAAATTTTCTGCTAACCTTTGTTATAATGAGCTGTTAATTTAGTTATTGTTGGCTTCCTCCAGCTTAAACTAGTCTGGCCATTTCCCCCTGACCGCTGGCTTCAACAAGCCGATTTTGCCCAGAGTACTTCCGCTTAAGATGGATGGAAAAATTCCAGTAAATCAACAGTTTCTGAAATACTCGGACCAGCCAGTCTGGCACCAATAATCATTACCACATTCTAAGTCACTTAAATCAACTTTCTTTCTCACTCTGATGCTTAATTTCAACTTCAGCAGTCTTGACCAAGTTTAGTGTATATGCATATACAATCTACGGCTGCCATAGATGCAGCATCAGCTGCTAATGTTGTGGGTGGAGTGGGTTTATTAATATGGATTCATTGTCAGAGTAACCAAATTAGTGGTAAACTGTAGGGAAAAACTGGCAAAGGGGGTGGGAGAATAACTTGATTTATGTAGAAACATGTTCATTAAAGTGCTGAAGTCTTCTTCTGCCTTGGTGAAGTCTGCCAGCTATGGTGTACATTGCTCCTTAATGACAGTGCCATGAATCAGTTTTTTTGTCATTCATCATTCGTAATCAGTGCCAGACAAATTACTGCAGGTTGTGTAATCACTGTATAATAAATGTAGCAAAAGTGTCACTAACAAGGTTTTAATGAATACTGTAAACAGAATTTTTTGTTGGAGTAGCAACTGTATGTTTCTTTCAGTTGAAAGAAGAGGAAAGGTAAACAAGAAAACTGCTCTATACTGTTTGTCTCTATTCGACAAAAACAACCAAAAGACCTGTCGATTTATAGCCCCATCCAAGCTCTTAATGACTCACAACACCAGCCTCCAGCAATTGAGACGGCTCATCAGTTTAATTACTTTACAACTTGGGTCCACCCCTTTCTGTCTAAAACCTGGCACTGGAAGCATTGCCCTGCTCTTGTTAGTATTCCACAAGAAATTCACTTTTGCACTGCACTTTACAACGCTACATGTAAAATGTGACTAAGGCTTAAGAAGCAGAAAGGATGAATGGAAGACGGCGCCAACAACAAATTCATTCACTATCTATTCATATTCAATTTAAAAGTATAGCAGTGGTATGGAAAAGGGCTTAAAGAAGTAAAGTGCAGATACTACAGGACCATTTCTTGATTGCTCCAGTTGTGATTGTCATTACAGTAAACAGATTTCCTGATTTTATGTTAGTCTTTTATGAATTTTATGAATTACTTGGACACATCATGTTAGCAAAGTGATATAAATACATTGATGGTAAGTCACATTGTTAGAAAAGAAACTTATAGAAGTGATGACTGTTACCTTTAAAATTCTTAATGAGCATTTTTAGTAGGGAAAAGCTATATAAAAAGTTATATTATCTATTTTTATTGGTGGGACGCTCTACTGGTCCATCGTGGTGAAACGAGAGCTGAGCGTAAGAGTGAAGCTCTCAAGTTACTGGTTGATCTACGTCCCTACCCTCACCTTTGGTCATGAGCTGTGGGTAGTGACCGAAAGAATGAGATTGAGGATACAAGCGGCAGAAATGAGCTTCCTCCGAAGGGTGGCTGGCCTCTCCCTTAGATATAGGGTGAAGAGTTCGGCCATCCAGGAGGGGCTCAGAGTAGAGCCGCTGCTCCTCCACATCGAAAGGAGCCAGTTTAGGTGGTTCAGGTTTCTGACAAGGATGCCTCCTGGGCGCCTCCTGGGTGAGGTGTTCCAGGCATGTCGGACCAGGGGAAGGCGCTGGTGCAGACCCAGGACACGCTGGAGAGATATCTCTCGGCTGGCCTGGGAACACCAAGGCCAGCTGAAAGAAGTGGCCGGGGAGAGGGAGGTCTGGACTTTTCTGCTTAGGCTGCTGCCCCCGCGACCCGGCCCCGGATAAGCAGAAGAAGATGGATGGATGGATGGATGGATGGTTTTTTATTTCATTTCATTTGTTGGCAGTTTGAAGGCTGATCTATATAGTTTCTCACTCTCTCTTGATTCATACTCCAAAATATGAACGTGTTGGAGATATCACAGTTATATACAGTATAAAACACATGGAAAATGAGTAGGATTAATATTTGCATGAATGCATAAACGAAGGCTTGAATGTAGCATTAATAGTGTAGTGCAAGTCTACTACCATCTGCTTACCATGCACCCAGATGAGTCTAACTGTCGATCAGACACACACTTGAAATTCTTTTTGCAGCCACCATTATCTTTAGAGCAGTCACGGGCAGGTCCAAAAGATGCCAGTAGGTCCTCTACATTTTCAAAGTATGTGGACATCATGGCCTCTTCCCTGAAATTGAAGAAAGTAAGGGTTACAAGAAGAAAGTTCAGTTATCGTTGCGTATGTTTTAACACTACAAATTGTTTTATTATTATTAGTCCTTTATTTATCCAGGTAAAAAATCTCATTTCCAAGAGAGACCTGGCATCATGGCAACAAACGTAAAAAAAAAATTAATTAAATAAAATTAAATTCAAATGAAAATTTATTTTATAAAATTATACTTCTCTCCTATTTTTCCACAATCAACTATAAATGCCATTATTGCAAAATGGAAGCATTTAGGAACCACAACAACTCAACCACACAGTGGCAGACCATGTAAAATCACAGGGCAGGGTTGAAACACTCTGCTTGTTCCAAATCGCCTCCAGCATTAACATCAGCAGAAAAACTGAGCGCCTGGAGCTTCATGGCATTGGTTTCCATGTCTTCTGTAGGTGTAATATGTAGGTGGCCCAGTACTTCTGTCCATATAATGTACCTGGGGCACTCTACCAGGTGAAGTACAGGACCACCGCTCTAACCTAATCACACAATTATTAGATATTTCACTCACAACCAGAAATGTCGAAAGATTTAAAAGATGGCCAAAGTAAGCAAGTTTTATCCACTGTATGCTATAAATGTCTGACATGCAGACAGACAGACATTTCCATTCTTACAGAAATGCCACTACCACGTTAACAAAACTAAAAAAAAAAAAAACTCAAGTATGTTTTCAGGTCAGTTTGTGATGAAGTCTGACTTGAGATCCCCACATTTGCATATATATATATGTGTCACTGACAGTAGTGCGATCATTTCCACTGCCAAATGTGGCACACCAAAGCTGCAAGCTCATTGCTCTGTGCAGTTTAGCATGCTCCGCCATGCCTATATGCTTTATGTCTACTATCAGAGGAAAAGAAGGGGCAAGCAAACCCCATGTTTTTGTTTGAAAGGAAACAAAGCACTATCTCTTGCAATGGGACCACAGGGACCACAGTGTGTTGTGAGGGTGACTTGACTTTAGAAACAGCAACAAGATTTTGAATGATAGGAAGACAGATGACTTGCTTTAGGAGGAGGATTGTGAAGTAATGTCACTACGGCTATCTTTCTATGTCTTTGCATGTGTATTTAGGCACCATTGAATCAGTAACTGATACATTGATTTTACTGTTCACTGAATTAAAATGTCCAACATAAGCCATCTTTAAAGTGGGTATAAACCATCAAAAAGTAATTTATCTCTTGGAAGTGATAGTGAAAAAAATATGAGAAAAATACTACATTTGATCTTCACAACTTTAAGAGAAAATAAAATGCAAAGCCTCAAAAAAAATCTATGAACGTTCAATGAAAAGCATCTTATTGATGTAAGCGAGAATTTATGGACAAGATATTAGACACAGTCTATCCACCTTTTCACTGAGGCAATATGATTTCTTTTTCATAGCGTCTGCTATCAAGATTTGGAATAACTCTTTCGATTAAGGGACTGTTTAGGTTTAATAACTGTTTTCAATTTAGTTTCACTGTATGCTACATATGGAAAATAATTGGCACATTTTTCTCGTGGTGCAGTACTATGGTTCACTGACTGACGCATTGGGACTGTCTACTTTGCAAATTTAAAATGTTTCTGACATAGTGTGGCAGTAGCAAATGACTCGCTGTCCTCGCTGTCACACATACTGAATGTTAAATACAAAACTCTAGCAAAATAGCTCTAATAAGAAACCTGTTTTATCTAAACAGCTTTATCTATTTATTTATTTTTATTTATTATTTATTATATTTATTTTATTTGTTTATTTTATTTATTTTCTATAGGTGAAATCTAAATGTAAGGTATCTTTCCAGCTACATGCTGATCATTTTAATGTTCATATGGGGCGACCATGGTTCAGGTGTTGGGAAGCTCATCTTGTAACCGGAAGGTTGCCGGTTAGATCCCCAGCTCTGTCTGCCTTGGTCGTTGTGTCCTTGGGCAAGACACTTCACCTACCGCCTACTGGTGATGGCCAGAGGGGCCACAGACTGTAGCTACAACTGTAGCTTGCCTCCAGTGTATGAATGTGAGAGTGAATGAATAGTGGAATTGTAAAGCGCTATATAGTCCATTATTATATAATTATGTATACATATGGACAGTTTGATGTGAACTTTTACAGCAGCTGAACGTTTTCACATTTCTTTGTTTACTGGTGGTACATTTTCAGATATTTTGATGCTTATAGTTGTAGATAAGTATTGTAGCCATTGGAAGCAGTAATATCCACTGTCAGTCCTACGCAGCTGTCATTTATTTATAACACAAAGAAAACAAAAAGAAAGTTTAGGAACAGTATTTAAATGTGTTTTTAATTAGTTGACAAAAACACATGGGTTTGCCAAAAATGACTTAATTTGTGCTATAAATTGAGCAAAGCAGTCGACTGCTATGAAGTTTATTTTCTTTTGTCTACCTCGAGTACAAGAACGCCCACACATCCTGGATGCACATTTGAATGGAGGAGGACTCCATTCGAACAAACTTAGATCTCGTTCTTACAACGAAAGGTGCCTGAACTGCATCAACTGTTTCACTGTGGAAGAGTGGGATGTGAAAGCCAAGATATTTAATTGTTATTATCCAGAGAAAGAGCAGCAGGCTTGAAGAGGACCTCAATCTCAACTCTCCACATTGAAAGTTTAATTATTTTGGTAAAAAAAAGGATTATCAAGTGAGGGACAAAAAAACAAAAACAAATAGAAAGTTAGAGCTTTGCCAAACAGTTCCAATATCTTTGAAGATTATGGTCAGGTTAATTATTTATAGCTACTCCTTACTCCTTCTGGAGGGTTCATCGGGGTGTCCGTTTGGCCTTAGGCACAGGGACTCTGACAAATGATTCTCTGCACACTAATTATATACGCAAAACCAACCAGGAAACAAGATGTATTTTTCTCTTTTACACACATTTAGTGTGCTGGAATTACTGAGGAAAAAACTCTGGGACATGATGTCACTAAACGTACTTCACATACCTAAAAGAACCTCACGTTGCCTTTTTGTTCATTTTTTTTTCTTAAGCAATCTCTTTCTTAAGAAAAGCAGGGCAATGATTATCTTACAAGAAGGTCCACTGTTCCAGAGCCAAGGACCCTGCAAGTCAAACGGTGGGATCACTGCAACACCTAATCGGCAAAGAGTAGACAGCTGTTGTCATTGAGAAAATGGCAAGGAAGTTCGCCATTACAACATCGACTTTAACGACCCTTTGGGGAAGGTGCCTAATTTAGTGTGTGAAGTTGAGAGGTACCAACAAAATGCAGTTGGGCTCAACATTATTCACAGCTTTGGCTCTGGAACCAACTCCTTGATAGACGGTGGACTCAGTCCTACACAGGAATTGTCCATCGTGAGATTTGCCAGATCGATGTGGGTACTACTGACAAATCACCGGCTGGGTGCTGCACAGTTGGACTTTCTCCAGGTGGATGTGAGGGTCACCATCATGTGGCTGCATAATGCAGAGAGAAGAACTATTACAGCTGTTTGCGCATATGTGCTTATTTTTTGGATGGTAAGTAACAAGGATTTTCATGAACCAAAAATCCAGGCAAACAGTGGAGAAAGAGTTTGCCAAAGTGCAGCAGAAGCTAAATGGTATATTTATTTCATAACATTTTGGATGTTAAAAATTCATTTATGTATATTACAAATACTTAAAACAGCATCAAGAGTGCTATAAAGTTATATGTTACAAATAATTAAAACACTCTTGTTGACAGGGCCTGTTATCCTTGGATTGACGTTTCAGTTTGTAAAGCTTTGACATTTGAAACTATAGTGGTTGAAGATATCTCTATAGCACTTTTTATGCAAGCATGTAAAGACGAACCTTTTTCCCCATCCACTAGACCCAGTAACCCTTCATTTATGAAATGTAGACCTTGCATAACATCACACTCATCTTTAGTGGGCAGTCTGGATTAAAGGGCATGGTTGGTTATTAATAAAAACTGAATTTGTTGGATGCACATGCCACACTCCTTAGCAGGAAACATGAGTCACCTTGGATACTAAAAGACGCTCTGCTTGTTCGGCTTTTGAGTGAACATGGTGTATATGCCTGAAAAAAGGGCAGTAGGTGCAGATACATGGTTTATTTTGTATACCGAATATATACAAGGTAGGGAAATAGAATTTAAATTTACATCTTTTATGCTTCCATTATGCAGCTCTATCTGCTAAACTGTGCAAAACTTTAGCCAACCCTGATTTATTTATGTTTCACTTGGAAAATAGGAAACAAGTGCAGCAGTTTCTTTAGGATTTATTACTTATTGAAACATGGTCAAACATAAATTGGAATGCAGTATATAAGACAAAAATGAATTTGCATAATTCAAGCAAGTTTGAAAGTCAATATTTGGTTTACGCACCTTTATTTTTCAATATATCCTGAACTCTCTTAGCCAAGCTTCTTGTAATTTCTTTAGGTATTCAGAAGCAGTTGTAAACACTCACTCCTCTACCTCTCTCATCACTCCATTATACGTGTTGTCAGTGATTTTCCGACCAGTTTGGAATAGTTCAGTCTTTCCTTTTGTTCCTTTTGTTTCACTCCCTTAGCTTCTGGATAGCCACCTTTCCACTGACATCATTTCCTATGAGGCTTCAGTGAACATTGGTGGGTGAATGAGCAGAAGAGGGAGATTGATCTCACGTGTCCTGTGTCAGGTCTTTGCTGGATTGTGTCCTATTTCTTATGGACATCACATTTAGATACTGCTCATTTGCTTTTTTTATGCCTGCGCCTTGCCACAGTTTCAGTTTATAGGTGTTTGGGAAAAACCTCGTTGGCGCAAAAATACCATTTTATGCCTGTAAACTGAGTTATCTTTTTTGTTGATTTGGAACCAAAACTGGTTCATTATGCTCGAATGATTCACAGGCTGGCAATAGGTGGCTTAGCAAACAAACCAAGAAGCAAACGAAAAAGACATTCCTGTGAAAATCATCAGGTACTGGACTG